TTTTTTTTTTTTTGGGAGGGGATACAATAATAAAAATGAAACAAATTTGCAGTCAATTTCTAGTGCCCTTTCAGACTAGACAACTTAAAAACTTTAACATCCATTGTTCACTCAATTCAGTCGACAATTTCAAACACTCTTACAAGAAACACATGATAAATCACACAATCAATTATGTACAGCTACTCTAGTATCCAGGGTGAGCAATTCATGGCGATATAAAGTGCAAACAACAACCCGAAAACTCAATGATGGCCAGCACATCGTTTATGTAAAATAATTTTGTATAAAACCTCACTTCTCATATAATTTTACATGAAAAGTTACTGTGAATATCTTAAATCCAAATGTATAAATCGAGTTATGAGCTAATTGCCTCGACATATTCATATTCATATTTTAAATAGAAGATACTAATAAAAAAGTTGCTTCCCTGTACACATCAAAATTTGATAAATAAATAGTCGACTTCCTGAACGTTCTGTCAATCACATAGCAAACACTATCCTTCCTAATCAATTCATCGAGTCTATTGACAGACAATCACCACATTTCAGGTGAGAGCAACTGAGCAAGTAATGCCTCTTGATCAACAGGCAACGGATTAATGATTATAGTATGGTCACAACATGGTAATTCACACATAAACAACAAATTCATCGCAAAGAAAAAATCCGACCAAATACTATGACCACAGTCTAGTAGTTCACACATAATCAACAAATTCATGGCAAACCAAAAATCCTACCAAACGAATCGCCGACGCCAAAATCGTGGCGGATGACCCAGCCTTTGCTCGTACCCAGCACAATGACGTCATTCCCAGCAGCCATACATGTAATCACTCCACGTCCCTTGGCGGCGTGCCTCTCCAGCAGGTCAACCGAAAATACATGCCGCCTCGGCTCCATTTCTTCTTCAGCTCAAATTCGGAAAATCTTCAATGCTAGGAGGATCTGGGGACACAATCAGAATCCTACTGAGCCATCGGGCTCACTAAATTAAGTTATTGGGGTGAATAAATAGGATCGCGATTCTATCAGCTGCCCTGGTTCATCGACGGAGGCTGGTTCGCCGGAGTAAGAGAGGTGGACGGAGGCGGATTTCTCCGTGAGATGAGGAAGGGGACAAAGAAACCAAAGAATTAAAGCGTTGCTATGTCGCCGGAGCCGGAGGTATAGTTCGTTGGATGCCGGCTTCGCCAGAGGTAGAGCTTTTATCAACTGCTTTATTTTTATTTATTTATTTTTTTTTTTTTGGTGCCATAAATTATAGATGTGTATTTAAGCATGTAACCGAGCCGAGCAGAGCCGAGCCGAGCCGTGCTCGAACCCTTAACAAGTAGCCGAGCCGAGTTTAGTTCATTAATTGAACTCGATTGCGCTCGTTTGTCACTAAGAGCATCCGCAATGCTTTTGGTTCAATCACAAAAAATTATATGACACATAAGAAATAGACTAGTCTACAAAAATGTATTCTCCAATGCAAAAAAAAAAAGTAGATTGGGTCCTGCTGATGTGGCAGCCAGAAAAAGAAACCTGGTCTACCCTTAAGTCTATTTTAGACTCAAGTAGAGACATAGTCTCTTTGCATTGGAGTAAGGTTCATTAATTTTACATATTTTTATCCATGTCATCTAAGACTTGAGTTTATTTACATGCAACATAGGCAAGACTAGACCCAATGCATTGTAGATGCTCTAATAGCGAGTTGACTATATAAAATTATATAAAATTCTTTTTTTGAGCTTTATCGAGCCGATCCGCTATTGGCTCGTTAACCAAACAAGCTTTTAATGACTTCGAGCTAGATCATTTATCAAACTAGTCGAGCCAAGTTTGAGTCGAAGCGAGTCAGACTCGTTTAATTTAACAACACTATGTATATTCAATTTAAAAAGATTTTAAAATTTAAAAATGCTATTAAACTCATAATGTTTAAGACTTTATGATTTGTTTGATTCGCACCATTAGACAAGATTAAGGGCCTCTGGCCGCAGTCATGTGTTAATTTGTCACAACTCACAATTGCGGCCCGCGCGACTAAGCTTGATCTGTGACATAGCAGTGAATTATCTTGAGATGACCAGGAATCTTGGTGCAAGTCCCATGATTGTGCAACTTTCAAAAATATTCAGATTACCACTGGAATATGGAAATCATCCGCAATTGGTGATGAGCACGCACAGGAATCTCGATAGGCGTAGTAAATCAAAATAATAAGTAAGAAAATAATTCCCACATTACCCCAAACAATAAAACTTACAAACAAAAAAAAAGGGTCATTTTAGTTTTCGTTTTCAATCTTCATTGTTCATACCCACACACATGATCTTAAAAAAATTTTGGCACCGCATTAACGAATCCTAGTTGAGAAGTGGAGTACATCGAAGAGCTTTCTCACTTAAACTTCCGTGAACCTGGTACGCATATACAATTTCCCTCATCCCATTATTTTGCAATATTTTTTGTTTCTAATAATATTGACAACATGGGTCATCTTCTTGTGCATAATTGAATCTCTAATAATGTGATTCTCTTTCATACATAGGGTTCTATTTGTACACCCTAGTTTCTCTTGTCGTGGTTAGTACTAAAAAATTTAAGTGGAGGTAAAAGTAATACTTTTCCGATTCTTGTGCATTGTGTTGACGAAATTTGGATTACACGCTCAATATTTTATTCTCACTTTCAGTTTCTTTGTGGTTCTGCAATTTGGTTTAGTAATTGTGTTATCATGGGTATTTAAATGATTTGTTCGAGGACAACAATCAACCTAAGATCATGGAATTGGACTCGGATATTGAGTTATGCATCGACTCTGAATAGGCCACCTCGGTCGCTCATCCGTTGGCACAAACATCTACTTTTGTTTGTCCACTTTTGACCCAGTATATACGTTGCGTTTTGAATGTTTGAATGGCTAATATGGTGGTTTAACGTTTAGGAAGCTTTCTTAACAATGGACATTTCTCTTTGTATCAGTAAGTATGGACAATGTCTTGGTTGCGTATTTGGTTTTATGGATAGTGTTTAAGTTTGAACAAGTATATTTGTCTGTTTTTAAAAAACTAAATGAAATTTAATTATATTTATACACATTATTGAAATTGAAATTAGGTTTTTTTTTTTACCTTTGAAAATTAACAATTGTGTGCGACAAACATTTTTAGACCGAGATAGGAATATAAAACATACTAGCAAATGGTTGTCCTATTAACTAACTTATCAATTGTTGGTACTATGGTGTTTGAAAGGAGAATAAGTATCGTAATACATACACAAATACATCCTTAAAGACATACGGTTGGAATATAGAAGGATCACCTGAGCATTTGAAAACTCGGGGACCATTCTGATGTTTACGAAAATGCAAATTACCAATTCCAAACAACTAAAAAGGCATACATTAACATATGCTTCAATAGATCAAGGCATGTCAAGTGTTTGGCTCGCTCAAGGATCCCTTGCACGAACCTAGACCTGGCTTAAGGGGCCGACAAGAATTGTGCAATGCGGTTTGACTCCAATTTGAATGAGAACATGGCCATGCGTATTGACCAGCCATCCCGAAAACGCATCTCATGACGACAACTTTCTAGTAGAATGTTGATGAAGCATAATGTTGTGTGATGTGTCGAAAACAACATTTGATTGGTTAGTTACAGGCAGCACACACTTTTGTTTCTAGAATTTTGATCCAACATAAATGATGGGCTTGGGGTTGATGTATATACCTGACCGAAGAAGTACCGTAGCTTACCCCATCGCGGTCTACCAAATGTTGGTAGGTGAAGGGTTGGACTTAAAACCACCGAAAAAGAAAATTAGTTAGGAAGCTTCCTTTCTAAATAATAATATGTATATATTTAAAATATAGTGTGGAATCCTATTCATTTCTAATATGGATTCTGCAAACTGTAAGCAAGTAAACTTGAAACCTACAATATATAGGATCATGTCATTGTTGGTTCATTTATTAAAATTTGTATTTGAATGAAAATCAAGCATCACAACTTCATAAAATTGAATTGATAATTTAAAATTAGAGTTTATAAAATAACTCATAAAGGTCATAAACATCTAAAAGGAGCTGAGTTACTGTTTCAATTAAGTACCTAAAAAATGTCATCTCAGCCAGCAACAGATGCAGTAAGGACGTTGGATCTGACACAATGACGTAATACATGTTTACGAAAAATCCAACCAAAAACAGTGTAGCGTTTGTGAAAAAAATCGAAACGGTCCTCGATCTACGCAAAAGATACTATAACCTAACACGAGTGAATTCTTACTAATGCGAATGTTACTTTGAATAACACAAATTCTTGTGAGACATCTTAAATGTTAGGCGAGTCGACCCGCTATACTATTCGAACAAAATGCATACTTTTTTCCTGAATGATAATATAATAGTAAAACTTGAGAAGGGGACTAATTACAAGATAAAATGCTTGATGACAACTAGCATCAGCATAATTTGAGCAACATGTCTACCCTGAACAGAAAATTCCAAACTGGAGAGGTAATCTCTAACCTTCCCCCAATCATTTAAAGGAGAAGGTAATCTCTAACCCGGACGTCCAATCAGAAGAAGGAACACTAGCCGAAAACCCCAACCCACCCATACATGAGTACCAGACAGACAAGAGGGAAAAAGACAGAAGAGTCGACGCCACCATGGTGTCGGTCACCTCTAGGGTGAGGGAGCCTTTAGAGACAGGAGACCGACGGTTAACAATTTTGGGTTTTTAAAGGAGAGAGGTAAAAGTTTTGGAGAGAGAAGCTAATTTATCAAAAAAATTTAAATCAACAAAAAATACATGTTTATATTATCAAATGGAATACTTACGTTCTTTTTTTTTTTTTTATGACATCTTCTAATTAACATATGCATATCTCTTAAAAAAAGATACGCCTACATAATGGTTAAGTCACTGTACCACATGAAAATTGAATGAAACCATAATGTATCTTTGTGAAATATTTAAAAAGAATATCATTTTAAAAGTTCTATTTTGTTAAACCTTTATTTTTTTCATATCTAAATTTATTAAGTAAGTGATTAACATGAGCATAATGTACATGTTATTTTTATTTTTATTTGTTGTTTTCTCACAAAAGAGTCGTACATAACTTGACTAATATTGAATGTAGTTTCCATATTTCAATTTTTTTTTTTTTTGGATTTTTGTTTGTTTTTCAAGTTTTTTTGGAAAAAAAAAAAAATCAGTTAACTAGTTGAAAGAGAATTCCCATTACCCACTGGACCCTATCTTAAGCAGATGACACAAAACTTGAGTAGCTCTTCAAACTGCTCATTATCAGGCCTATAACATATTGACTACTATCGGCGAGAGACTCGACAACTCAGACTGCACTATTGTACCGTCTTACCACCCACCTTATAATGTCTGCCTGTCGGCGCCTAAAGCAATAAGAGCAACTAAGTTTTAATAATAACATATATAAATAAAAACTTTG